ATGTGTATTTATTTTTTCGAATGATTCGTGCTGAAGAGAAACTATGAAATAATCATATCCTCCAATCTCCATACTTTTTAAAAATAAAAAAAAATTCTTTTAAAATTATCAAAATTTACACTATCTCTAAATATTAACAATGTTACAAGTGCATGGAGTTGAAATGCAATTTCTTATTTGAGCCTCTCGGAAGTCAAGCCGATTAACATCCATTTCTATTATTATTATCATTATTATTAATTTTTTATTGTCATTGCAACAAGAATAGATACAAATAAAAATGACGAGAGAAAAGAGTGTTGTGCCAGTAAACGGCTATAGGCATCAGCAAATTACTGTTACAATGCCTATCTATTGAACATTAACAGCTATCATTAGAATAGCTATCGACATAGATTAACTTCAATTTCTAATTTTTAGAACTAGAAAAAGATGGTAGAAAAAGAAAAGATAAGTCAAGATAAATCAAGACTAAAGTTAATCTAAGTTGATAGAAATGGGTCTATCTCTTTTTGCAAATATCTCGATTTTAGTGTCAAAGCACATGACTGGCTTGCAATGTTCTCGTCAATTTTCTTTAATTTCGCGGAGTCGGTTTGAGTCTTCCGAGAGAGGCTCGCTCGGCACTGATTGTTTCCACCTACCTCACTCGCCTGCTCGCAAGGGGAAGGCACTTTGGCGGAGAATTCCCTCGGAGGGAGGTCCTCGGTGCTCGCGGCGTCGTCGGCCGTGCTCCCGGAAACGTCGTCGTCCGCGGAGCCGGGAACGACGCCTTCCTTCTCGCCGTCGCCGTCCTTCTCACTCGTCGTCCGCTGCTCGTGCTTCGAGAGCAGCTCGCGCTGCTTCTGGAAGAACTCGGGCTCGCTGAAGCACTTCTCGAGGCTGGCGGCGCGCTGGAGAGTCGTCGGCGAGCTCGGGGTCGAGCGCGAGAACTCGAGCTCGTCCCGCAGCAGGTTCTCCGCGCTCTTGTTGCATATCCGCGGCGGGTCCTGGTCGCGGAACGTCCTGCGCTGGCCCTTCGATACCTCGCACATCGCGCGCTAACCAGAGAATGATGCCCTTCGCCCTCGGGAGAAAGTCGCGCGGCGCACGTCCAACCTCGACATTTCACGCGTACATTTCACGAACGGCTGAAAGAATTTTCCGATAATTATTTATACGGATCACCGGGCGGACTTGCGAATGCGAAGGGATACTTTAAAATAGATTTTTTAAAGCGTCGTCGTTGTTCACATCGAGATTATATCTATTGCGCGACATTTCTCATTAAAGAAAATCTCGAATTGTCTCGGAATTTTCGTTATTGCCACCTTCCACACGAATATGCGATGACGGTTGACTGACGTTAATTTACGCGCACAGCGTTGACTTATTCTCGATACGGAAACGAAGTTAGCCGCTCGCGTAATGGTGAGTCGTCCGGCGAATAAATCGAGCCATATGCCGGCGAGTTAAATATACCTCTGCGCGGGGTGGGAATGACCACTCGATATCTCCTCGATCGCACCGACGCGGTACGCGGCGTGAGAATTTTCAGCATTCCCGAAAAAAAAAAAAAATTAAGGAGGGACGCGCGATCGTACCCGCGGCGGCGCGACGCTCCGTCACCGCGTCAATGCGCGCGGGGTTGAACGGAGCAGGGCGGAGCGGACGCGCGCGGAATCCAACAGCACCGAAGCCGAATCGGACCCTTACCTGTCCGACGTCTAACGAGGTCCTTCGCCCGCTCGAGATTTTCGCGAGGACGCAGCCGCGGCCAGGCCACGTACACTTCACAGATCCGCGGACGTGACGCGCGCAGACACCACCAGACGCGAGACTATCTCGCGGCGAGGGACGACCACCCCGCGTGCGTCATGCGGAAGGACATCTGTTGCCCCTTGCCCGCGACACCCCTCGGCGAGGCGAGGCGAGACGCTCGCCCCTCGGCTCCCCTCTCCTTCCGCTCACCCGTTCCCGCACTCTCTCTCTCTCTCTCTCTCTCTCTCTCGCTCTCTCTCTCTGTCTGTCTCTCTCGCATGTACAAGGGATCGTTACGCTCGTACCACGCACGCGTAATGTACAGGGTGGCGCGTGGAAAAGCAGTCTGGCGCCAATGTCGATGAAACTTGCCATTGTCAAGGGTGCAATATATGTTATCACGACGGTACAACGACGATATACCACACTATGCCGAAGATATTTTTTAAAATTTAATTCAAATTGTATGATAAAGTAGTCTGGGATTCTATATAATTTCGGAAACGCTGACACCTACCTCCACGTGCACGCCTTTTTCATTCTAATATTACTGATAAATGAAAAAGAGACAATATTCATCACAATGTTTTTAACTTTTTCATTCTTTTCTTTCTTACTTGATTGCTATAATAGACTTAAACTGGATTAAATGTAAACCGAATAAATGTAAAATAAAAATTTTTTAACTTTAAAAATTCTCAAGAGGTTAAAATAAGAATAACTTCTCAAAATGCAGCTTTAATCTGTTCTCGATTCCATTAATTGGTTTCTTTCTTTCTTGAAACTTACTTTTCACTGTATTTATATATTTCTATGCACATTTATGAATCCACGACATTAAAAATGCAAGTTGCATCCCTGCGTAAAGGGGGCTCTTCCGAGACTCGTTTACATCACTGCTTATTCATCTACATTTCTCTCTCCTCGTGTGTGTCCCCCGCCCTTTATCTATTCCACCACCGATCCCTTTATTATTATCATCTTCTCTTTCTCCCTAATTATCCCTACAGCCGTCCTCTCACTTCGCTCTTCGCCCTTTCATTCCCTTATCACCCCAATTCACACGCTCCCTTCCTCCCTCCGTTTTTTTTTCTTTCGCTATGCCACCCCTTCCTCTTCACGGATCTTCCGATCTACCCCTCACAGGGGGAGAAAGGAAGAAAATCATGGGGCTCGTCGTGAATTATACCGGCAGGGGGATGCGTAGGCAAGACGCCGACGACGCCGACGAGAACGACGACGCTGGCGGCGTCGCGACGCGACGCCGCCGCCTAAAATGCTCATGCGTCAATCGATCCGCGACTTTCGCCGAAGGAGGGAATTCTTCGGCGTGCCTCGGCGTCTTTATCAATCGCCAAAAGTTCATCCCTCCATCCTTAATTGTCGATCTCGCTTTCTTTGAAGCCGCGGAATGAAACAGCTCCGATGTTCATCTCGCGAATAAGTCACACAGCAATGATTATTTTCCCTCCCGTCTGCACGTTGATTTCGAAAATGACGTCGCGGACTGTCTGTCACCTTTTCCGACTGAATTTAAAATTGTATTTGTGAGATAACCGACAAGTAGAACTTTCGTAATTGCCGTAAGATCAGAAATACGTTTGTATAAAGAAAAAAAGGATAACTGCCGTTATTAAGGCACGCATCTGTCTTTCACATATATGGATTTTAAAAATTGTTTCTCGCCTGATTTTTCATTTTTCAACAATCTATATGTAACAAAATAACACAATATACATAATCTGTCTCAAAAGTAATGAAACTATTTTTGGTGGCCCAATCAGAATTATTGGGGAATGGATCTATTAAACAAGGCCTTTGGTGCGGGATGTCAGGTGTACAATCTGACCCTTCTCAGTTGCCTCCGACCGAGCCTTTCTAGCAGTCGATGCCGTCAGCAAAGTACGTTGTAATTTTTGTGTCTTGTCACGGGCGAAAATTCACAGACTGTGCTGTATTTTGAGCAGCGTTACGCGATCAAATTCTGAAGACAAAGCAGCATCCCCATAAGCTATTCTCAACATCTCCAACGTTTCGGGGACCAGATTTTCTCAATTTTATCCAGAATTTTATCGCTAATCAAGACTGCTAAATTTTCGACCGTGATAAGACACAAAAATTACAATGCACTTTATTGATGGTATCGACTGCTCGGTGGCAACTGAGAAGGGTCAGACTGTATACCTGACATCCCGCATCAAAGGCCCCGTCCAATGGATCCAATCTCCGACAATTCTGATTGAGACGCCAAAAATAGTCTAGTCACTACTTTTGGGACAGATCATGTATATGTTCTTGTTTCGAAAGACAGCAGTGCAAGAATAACTTTATTCTCCGAAAAAATCCAACTCGCTTCGAATAATTAAATAACAATTATGTGATATTTATTGCGGAACGAAAGCAATGCTTCACTGACAACCTTCAACGTCTCGATTATCTAGAGATAATCGAATACTAATACATTATTATTACATTACATTATTGGTCTCCGAGTTCAGCGTCAAGTAGGAAAGAAGAAAACAGAAAGAAAGAAAACATGTTTACTTAGACACGTTGCAAAAATTGTGCTGTCTAAGGACACTTCAGCTTTAAACTTTTCAAACATCATTAACAGAGGGCGACGTCATTAACACGGGAGTTTTAAGTTCGAACGCTTGCTTCTCAGTTTCCAGCTGTTTAGAATTAATGTAAGTGCAATTAAGTGCGTCAATTAATAATTATCGTCCGAAAATTCTAATATACATATACGTATCGACTTTGTAAGTATTACCTGTCGCATTAATTATATCTTATTCCAATTGCTTAAGGAGTACTTGTGAAAATATTCCAGCACGCTATAAAATTCTATGTTATTTTAACTATTATTCAGCATACTTACAAAATCCTCATCTCAAGTAGATAATAAATCGGCAAAATATCAAAGTGACATTTTGTATCGAAACGATCTTACACTGAGAAAAAAAATTACTTAAAACAAATAAATATGTTTCAGGTACCCCTCAAAAAAATAATTTCTTGAAGCAAATAACATTTTTTTGTTTTAAGTAATTTTTTTTCTCAGTGCAAACACTTTTACTTAAAATAAAAAAATTTTACTTGCTTCAAGAAAATTATTTCTTTGAGGGGTACCTGAAACATATTTATTTGTTTTAAGTAATTTTTTTTCTCAGTGTATACGACAGTATTCTGTCTGACAGTGTCGCGATCCTTAGACACCAGTACATCTCGTAATCATCTTTATTCTTTTTTCCTAGATTATTTCCGTAATAAAATGGCAAACATGAATACAGATCCTATATTACAAGCTTGGTTAACCAAAGCACTAGACATGGTTTCGAGCAGAAAGAGATCTCGATTGGTCGTCGAAATATGCGATAAACACGACTACGTACCTATGCTTAAGAGAATAGAATATTCGGAGGCAACGGAAGAATATCTCGAATTGGCAAAGAGATTCGGGGCAGCGGTGAAGGACGTTCTGGCTGGTGCGGACGATTCGTCGGTCGCCGGGGCCTACAGGCTCGATCTCGAGACGCTGCGCGGAGAGGTGCACCGTCACAGAGATTCCGGGGCGGAACAATATGAATTCCCGAACGGAAAAACATTCTCGTACAAAGAGGAACTGATGTTACTGGAGATACTGGCGACAGTTCCGCAAGCCTACTGCGTATGCCAGAAATGCACGTCGGAACGACTGCCGTATGTGGCTTTATATGTGGCCCGGCAGAAAAATAAAGTATATCCGCACGACTGGAACGAATATCAACAGGCGAGTAAAGAATGGGTGGAAAATTTCATAACAAGTTACGAAGATGAGTTCTTGCGCGCGTTCCCGTTCCCATCCGAATGCAAGTCGACGCAAGCCATGCAAGGTAATTCGAGCGAAGACAGCGAAGTGTAAAAAAAAATACTGCTTATCGTGAATTCGCAAGGTTGATGGAAGTTGCGAGCGTAACGCAAACCTAATACCATGAAGTTTCCGAGAACGATTTGCTTGTGGGCTTGAAAACGATTGTCGAACGAAAAGGGATCATTAATCATTGTTCTTAGATTGACCAGCCTGAGGGTAGAAAGGAAGACAATGTTAAAACTAGCATTGTAACGTTTTAAAGAAAAAACTGCACTTTCTATTGCATATTTAGACCTGAATTCGAGACATATTGCTTACAATATTAATACGCTTAATATTGAAAATAAAGATAATGAATAATAGCGTTCATGCACACGCGCGACGAATTTAAAAATTATTTCAGCAATCATTCCAGTGTGTAATACATATATATTTTATATGTATATCATATAGGACATAAAGGAATTATATCTATGTTTGATGAGACTATATTCTCAGACAGCAAGCGAATGTCATTTGTCGACATTTTGATGTCAAAATGATAACATTTTGATTTCAAAAACATGACAACTTATGCTTGCTAACTGGAAACTAGAGGATTCGTTCGCTCTTCAATAGATGAATCACTATTTTCATATTAGAGATAACTTTTTTTACAAACTATTTTAACAAATTATATATCATTTATAACATACATTTTGTGCTATTCTTTTTTTGTAATTTCTTACATTTCGTGCATTCTGTATAAAATATAATTCATAAACTTCCCGATTTTCACCAATTTTGGTCTTTTATACCTAAAGAAACTTGATATTTGGCCATAATAAATTGAATTAAAACAGCAATAAATAAATTGTCAATTAATAAAATCGAATACATACGAATTAAATTACCGATAAAATATTTTCATATTAGAGATGACTTTTTTTACAAACTATTTTAACAAATTATATATCATTTATAACATACACTTTGTACTATTCTTTGTTTTAATTTCTTACATTTCGCGCATTCTATATAAAGTACGATATTCATAAATTTCTCGATTCTCGTAAATTGTGGTCTTTCATTCTTGACTTGATATTTGATCATAATAAATTGTATTGAAACAGCAATAACAAAATTATCAATTAATAAAATTGAATACTTACGAACTACTGATCAAATATTTTTATCTATTTCTTTCGTCACGATCACGATTGCTCCAAGATAGCATGTGAGAAATGAGAACGCTACAGCATCGCATCATTAACAATGTTGACGACGCCATGTATATACCTTTGTGACGCGCCGGCCGCTCGGGAGGACCCCTGGCGCCATCTCTCGACGCGATCCGTGAACCAAGTTCACGTTTTACGACAGCTGAATTATCGGCATCTCCGCGAGGCGAACCTGTCGCGATAACCGGTAGGCCTTTTCTGTTTCACTGCCGCACACGAGTCTTTCTCCTCTTTCTGTCCCTCCCCCCGTTTGTTGTCCGGGACTCGAGGTGTACTTTTGAGAAAGTACGATGCAAGCCAGCCTGTGGAACTTGGTGACCACGTCGATTAGGGTGAGTCTAGGCGGACGAACGGATGATCTTTCGCGCGGACGATATTTCATTCTGGATATCTCTTTCGTAACATCTCTCTCAGGCATGGGGGGTGATTCTCTCGTTAGTTTTGTTAATGAAACTCTTCGGTGGTCACGCCTGCACAGATCGGCGGAGTTACCTCTTGGTTTCTCAGGATTCGCTGAGAAACCCGCGGAGTTTCGATATTACACGCAAAGGTAGTCTCACAGATTGGTTATGTCATTGCTTTCTCTGTGTCGGTGTACCACCAAATCTGTTCTCAGCTGTTCTGCACATTTACACTTTCTGCACTCAAAATGAAATGTTTGAAGCAGAGAGGATCCCTCCGGTTTGAAGGAGAAAAGGAAAAAAAGATTGAATAAGAGTAAGGTCTGTTTTTTTTATAGCTGAACTGGCTGCACTAGTTCAGAATTTATCTTTTTTCTCCCAATGTCGAAAGATAAAGATAAACTGTGAACTAGTACAGCAGTTCAGCTATAAAAAAACAGGCCTATAGAGACGTGTAGCTGACAGCAGAATGCTGTTACAGAATGATGAGAGAGCTTTTTTTAAGAATTTTTTAATTTACATGTATGTACACAAAGAGAATTATTGACAATTACATATATATATGATAATTTTGTATATACTTATATATGTCTTTATTTTTGAATTGTCAATAGTTTCCTTTGTCGAACATGTGCTACAGCTCACTGGCAAATGTATCATCATTTTTGTATTTTACCAGCCAACATGCATGAAGCGTGTTCTACCGGGCTTGACGGCCACCCAGCAGCGCAGGTACGCCAGCACGTTGGATGCGGACATCGTGGTGATCGGGTCTGGCCCCGGTGGATACGTGGCGGCGATTAAGGCCGCGCAATTGGGCATGAAGACCGTGTGCGTGGAGAAGGGCCCGACTCTGGGTGGCACGTGCCTCAACGTTGGATGCATTCCGTCCAAGTCACTTCTAAACAATTCACATTATTATCACATGGCGCACAGCGGGGATTTAGCGAACCGTGGAGTTGTCGGTGAGTAATCAGATTAGATGAAAATTGAAAAAAATCACTTTATATATATATATGGATAATTATTTGCAGTATCAAATGTTCAATTGGACCTCAACAAGCTTATGGAACAGAAATTGAACGTGGTCAAAGCTTTAACCGGCGGTATAGCGGGCTTGTTTAAGAAGAACAAAGTCGAGTGGGTCAAGGGTCATGGAAAGATCACAGGCAAGAACCAGGTCACTGCCCTGAAGCCCGACGGATCGGTGGAGTCGACTATCAACACGAAGAACATTCTGATAGCGACCGGCAGCGAAGTCACGCCCTTCGGCGGCATCGAGATCGACGAAAAGAAGGTTGTGTCGTCGACGGGTGCGCTGTCGCTCAGCGAAGTTCCCAAGAGGCTCATCGTCATCGGGGCTGGGGTCATCGGATTGGAATTGGGCTCCGTTTGGCAGAGGTAAATCATTGAACTGGCCTTGAAAGGCCATACCTTTAAATGTCAATATTTTTAAAGACCAATTATCTTTTAATGTAAAAAAATTAATTACTCATTCCCGGTGAAATCACTTCTTGCAGACTGGGTTCCGATGTCACGGCCGTTGAATTCATGCCGACGATCGGCGGTATGGGTATCGACGGGGAGGTCAGTAAAACCATGCAGAAGGTGCTCGCGAAACAAGGGCTGAAGTTCAAACTGGGAACGAAAGTCACGGCCGCCAACAAGCGTGGCAATGAGATCGTGGTTACCGTCGAGGACGCGAAGGACTCCAGCAAGAAGGAGGACTTGGTGTGCGACGTGTTGCTGGTGTGCGTCGGCAGGAGGCCGTACACGCAGAATTTGGGCCTGGAGGATATGGGCATCGAGAGGGACGAGAAGGGGAGGATACCCGTGAACAATCGATTCCAGACGGTAGTGCCTAGGTAATTACGAAATTCAGAATTGGAAATTAAATGTCATTTGGCTTTAATTTCCTCCAATATAATATATCCGTGATAAAATATCTCATTGCCGGTGCGACTTCGGGTAACTCTGCGTAATTAAATTCGCAGTATTTACGCTATTGGCGACTGCATTCACGGACCAATGCTGGCTCACAAGGCCGAAGATGAGGGCATAATCACAGTGGAGGGTATCACCGGAGGTAATTTTTATTTGCATTTTAAATTACAACTCGTTATCTCCTCTCGCTTTAAGCTGAAGACGCCAATACGAACTTGTTCCTTTCTTTTTTGCTCAATGTAATTGAATGTGGATTATCTCGCACGATGCGTTAGGCGCGGTTCACATCGACTACAACTGCGTGCCGAGCGTGATATACACGCATCCAGAAGTGGGTTGGGTCGGCAAGACGGAGGAGGATCTGAAGAAGGAGGGCATCGACTACAAAGTCGGCAAGTTCCCGTTCATGGCGAACTCCCGGGCGAAGACGAATCTCGAGACGGACGGCTTCGCCAAGGTGCTCGCCGACAGCAACACGGACAAGATCCTGGGTGTGCACATGATCGGGCCGGCCGCGGGGGAGCTCATCAACGAGGCGGTTCTCGCGATGGAGTACGGCGCCAGCGCGGAAGACGTTGCCCGCGTGTGCCACGCACATCCGGTACGTCATTTAACATCAATATCTTATGTCAAACAGCTGTGTCTTGTATGAAATCTTTTCATTAATCCAGTTAATCCTCTTGATATTTCTGTTCGTGAGGATTACATTACACGATTGAGAATTTTGTGCAAAAAGAAAGAGCGAATTGGAGATAATTCTTGATCGTTTAAGTCAGTTAAGTGCTGCTTATTATATTTGACTTTGACGTTGAGAAATTGACTCTGAACTAAGATTGAGAGAGGAAAAATTTTAATAGAACTATTTCAACAGGCATGTTTTATACGCGTTCTCTTATCTTTCTTTCAGACATGCGCCGAGGCGCTCAGAGAGGCCCATCTGGCAGCGTACTTCGGCAAACCCATCAACTTCTAAGATCCTAGATGGAGAATAAGCAAAATCATTACACTTGTTTAGTCCACACCTTGATTGCGTTTAGCATCAAACGTGCCCGTCCCCCTTTTAAATCCTCACCGAGATAACACATTTCGCGGACAGACACGTTTAAGCTAGACGCGTATGATTTTGATGATGACGCGGCCCCTTCTGACTTCACATCGTAGCGTGGATCTAGTCTACGTATCAACGTCGTACGTTTCGCGCGAGACCGTAGCGCGTCGTATGTACAAGGGATTACGATTGTAAATAAAAGCTGAAAGCCATTACGCGGAGGATCAAGTTTATCTCTGCCAGGTGATTATTGTATTTATATTTACGAATAAACGAAAGAAATGCGGCATTATAATCTCTCGAATTCTTGGAATCGTTCGTTCCGAAAGGAGATACAGACACAAGCCATAAATACAGATAAGAGATAAGGAGAGAGAGAGCGTGAAATCGAGGCGCACGGCAGACAAATTTTCTAAGTGAATTATTTCACAAAAAAAAGATCTGTGGCCTAGAAAATTTTCTTAAATTTTATCTTCAGGATTATCTCCATAATTCAATTAAAGTTCAATCCTTTATATATCTTTAGGAAAAAAAATAACGCTTATTAATTGCAATCGCGGATGCATTTTGCATTTTTTAAAAATATTTTTCCGTAAAATACGATATTTCGGTATCAATATTATTTGTTTCCGCTTGATGCTTGGTCACGTGGTCCGATTCTACGTCCCTTTTGTGAACTTGGCCGCGTCCCGCCGCGAGTCGACACGGAAAAGACCGATTCGATTCGAATCGGCGTCTCGTAGAACCCAGGTAGAATCATCGTCGCGAACAAAATGGAGCGAAATAAATAATTCCGTTAAGCTTTTCGCGGTGGATTAGTTTCCGGTGGATACGAAGGAGCTCGAGAGTCCGAACGCTGATTCGAAACCACGCTTGCCGAGGTAGCCGGGTAACTTGGAATTAAAGCGAGGTTAAATCTACCTCGGTTACCCTAACCTTGCCGATTTCGACGCCGCGGCGCGGAGGCCGGGATTGCCGGATTAAAATTTCGTCCCCGGGAGGAATATGAGGTACGTATCTCCACGTTTCTCTCTTCGACGACGAGCACAAATCGTGTCCCGTCCCCGCGGAACTGTGACGCTCAAACGAGACGCTTTCGTCGCGCAGATAACCTCAACTCGAACGTCAACATGAGCTACAACAAGAAGGTGGCTTACTTCTACAACCCGGAGGTGGGTAACTTCCACTACGGGCCGGGCCATCCCATGAAGCCGCACCGGCTGTCCGTGATTCACAGCCTCGTGCTCAACTACGGCCTCCACAGGAAGATGCAGATCTACCGGCCGTACCGCGCCAGCACCCACGACATGTGCCGCTTCCACTCGGAGGACTACGTCGAGTTCCTGCAGCGCGTCACGCCGCAGAATCTGCAGGGCTACACCAAGTATCTGAGCCACTTCAACGTGGGGGACGACTGTCCCGTGTTCGACGGCCTGTTCGACTTCTGCTCCATGTACACCGGCGCCTCGCTGGACGGCGCCACCAAGCTGAACAACAACTGCTGCGACATCGCCGTGAACTGGAGCGGCGGCCTCCACCACGCCAAGAAGTTCGAGGCGTCCGGCTTCTGCTACATCAACGACATCGTCATCGCCATACTGGAGTTGCTCAAGTACCGCGCCCGGGTGCTGTACATCGACATCGACGTGCACCACGGCGACGGCGTGCAGGAGGCCTTCTACCTCACCGATCGCGTCATGACGGTGTCGTTCCACAAGTACGGCAATTACTTCTTCCCCGGCACCGGCGACATGTACGAGATCGGCGCCGAGAGCGGGCGTTACTACTCCGTGAACGTGCCGCTGAAGGAGGGGATCGACGACACGTCGTACATTCAGGTCTTCAAGCCCGTCATATCGCACGTGATGGAGTTCTTCCAGCCGACGGCGATAGTGCTCCAGTGCGGCGCCGACTCCCTCGCCAACGATCGGCTCGGTTGCTTCAGCCTCAGCACGAAGGGCCACGGCGAGTGCGTGAAGTTCGTCCGGGACTTGAACGTGCCGCTGCTGACCGTCGGCGGCGGTGGTTACACGCTGCGAAACGTCGCCAGATGCTGGACCTACGAGACGTCCCTCCTCGTGGACGAGCAAATCAGCAACGAGCTGCCGTACACCGAGTACCTGGAGTACTTCGCGCCGGACTTCACCCTGCATCCCGAGGTCGTGACCCGGCAGGACAACGCCAACAGCAAGCAGTACTTGGAGGCGATCACGAGACACGTGTGCGACAATCTCAAGATGATTCAGCACTCGCCGAGCGTGCAGATGCAGGACGTCCCGTGCGACGCGCTGCCGCCCGAGGAGGAGAGGCAGCCGGAGCCGGATCCGGACTCCCGGCAGAATCCGCAGGACACGGACAAGATTGTCGAGCCGGCGAACGAGTACTACGCCGGCGACAAGGATCAGGACAAGATGGACGTGAACGACACGTGATAAAGAGACAGTATTATAACTTGTGAGACCGCGAAAGACCGTAAGGGGATCCGTTCGAGATCCCTCGTAATTAAAGTTCAACAGATCCAATCCCAGAGCCCAGAGTTCCAATTCTATACGATTGGAATTTATCAATTTTGATCAATCAACACAGCAACAGAGATACTGCCGAACAAGGAATGCCGAAATCTCTTTTTTACGACTGATCCTGAAGACAATAGGCGTGCAATTATTGAATTTTAACTTTCGAGACTCTAGTTAATCTAGTAATATATTCAAAACAAAAACGAATAAAGACAAAAATCGAGCATTTGATGCGAATCGCGATGTATACTTTTTTTTACGTACGGGCAAAAGTGTAAATATGAATACTGTACAGATTGATTTGTTTATACTATGACGAAACACACAGGCATATTTTACTCAAATAAATCTTGCAAAAATTTTGGATAAACTTGTAATATACATCTATGTTTTAGACATTTTAGAATCCCTTCCCCTGATATTGCCATTTATTGCGAGGAGCAATTTCTTCAATTGAAAAAAAAAAATGTGTATATATATATATACATAATGTGCGATTACTCAGGATACCTGGATCTTAAATATCCATTAGGCAAGTTTATTGTTTTACATCAGACAGCAATATTCGTATTGTCTACAATGGTACAACAACGATGATGAGGACGATATTAATAGCGAATAATAGTATAATAGTAGCAATAACGATAACGTCTGTATCTCTGTCTCGGGGCTATCTTGCTATATCACAGAGAACTTAATCTTTCGACATAATTGTTCCTTCCAGAACTCTTTTCTTTCTTTCTTTCTTTTTTTTCTTAACAAGAATAGAAACGCAAAACGATTCTCTCGGGGAATACAGGGGAGGGTAGGGGAGGGGACGGACCTCTCTCCTCGGCTTGGTAGGAGCACTAAATGCGACTAATTGCAATAAATTAGATTCTCTTAAATTAAGGCGCTTTGTTCTGTACATTCGTATTTTGTAAACTCTACAAAAAGTCTCTCGAAAAATAATACACGTACAAAAATATTTCGGTACGAGAGGAACGCAAATACTCGATTTCCGATTTTTCTTTTAACTCTTTGCAAGAACGGTGCAAAAGACTACGATGCAGAGGCAATGCGTGTGTGTGTATGTGTGTGTGTGTGTGTATGTACTCTTTTACGCGTAACGCCAGGCTGCGCCTTTGAGGAACACCGCGCACGCGTGCGGTTTATACGCGATTATTTTCGTCTGCAGAAGGCAATACAATTCACGAAGCTTACGTACGACTTTACTTTAGCTCCTCTTTCTCATTCGACATACAAAAAATTCTCTTCCCGAAATTCGCTCGTGCCCTACAAAGCGCATACGCCACGTATACGTGTGCGTGTGTGTGTGTTACGTGTCCATATATATGCAAATATATATGTGTTTCTTTTTTCAGTCTCATAGTAACGGCAATTCCATTTGGTGTTTTGGTCTTCCATCGAACTCTTTGCATGTACTCGAGCGGCTCGTACGTTTCTTCGATTCGAAACTATATACAACACGTAGAGAGGGGAGGGGGAATATAATTAGGTAGGCAGTGCTGTGATCCAGCGATCCTTGCGACAAAAATGTTTTCAGAATCTTTCTTGCTGCATTAGCTTTCCTCTTCTCGTCGTAAGATTTGCTTGACTAGATGCTATTGTTCTTTCACGCTCGCCTCGCAACGCCGAGCGCTTTTCAACAGTAGCACGTGCCGCGCTTTGACAGGCAGTCCAACGGAACGGTGATTGGTTACGTTTCGAAGTGCTTGTAAATGCTAGTCACGTACGTCATGACTTGTTGCCAATCAGGTCGCTCGAGTTGACACATTTCACCGATGTTCTGCGGCAAGAATAATTCATATTACCTTCGTACACTCGTGACAATTAGTAGATGTATAACTGCGCGATTGAGATCTTATCGTTTTGTTATAAATTATTTTAATGAGTTATCGTACTATATATTTTACAGGGTTGCCACAAATTCTTCATTCTAAAATTCCATAACTTTTCCCTGACTTCCAGACAAAATTTCATGATTTTCCCTGACTTTCAATATTTAAAAAATTTTTATGTTTACTTGAATTAAAAACTATTTGGAAACCATTAAATATTTTTTTGAGAGAGCAATTTAACATAGCAATGTAAATTACTATTATTGTTATTGACATTGCTTGCACTTAATTGTTAAGTTGTTAGTATTCCTTTATCTTTTTCTTTTATATATGCGCACAATTCTTCTCCTCGGCTTACAATACAAGAAACATGTAAATATAGATTCTTTTTGATAAAAATTAAATCCTGTTTATTGGAATGTCCGACTTGCTGTTGTACAAAGATTTACAAACTTGAAAGAAGAATTACAAAAATATGAAGTCAATTTTAATTTTAATTTGTTCACAAGTGACACAAGAAACTTACAAGTTTAAAAAAAACTAGTTTTAAATAAATTAAAAATTTCAACAAAAAGTAGACAAGTTGAAAATTCCAATGTTCTCAGTAAAGCATTTTAAATCTCTATTAAAAAGAGAGTTTACATTAGCTAACAAAACTGTATAAGTGTGTGATAAACGCATATTAAACTTCTTTAAATCTAAGAATTTTAATTATCCAGAAAATTTTGTAAAATTCCCTGACTTTTCCCTGATTTCCAGTTTCGTGGCAATCCTGATTTATATACACCTTCGCAACAGTTAAAAATAATTTGCCAATTGACTTACCAAAGTAGTTGGTATGCCAACGCTCTCGGCAGCAGAGAAGGCGATCGAGAAGTTCCGCCGCTTTTCGACCGGCGTCAACGTGTCGTATGGTACCTTACGCGGCAGATAGGAGTGCAGAATCGCGCACAGCGCCAGGCCATCGTTCCAGGAACTGCTGAAGTTAGTTATGTCGATATTCCGGTAGCCTATCGTTTTGTTTTGACACCACTTGAGCAAGGCGTTACGCTTGGACCCGCCGTTCTTGACTAATCCGCACAGGGGATCCTTGCGCTCCGACAGATCGGTGACGCTGTTCCGGCGCACGAAGTCGATCGCCTTGGCGTTCAAAGCGGCCGAGTCCAACAGCTCGCCCGGACTCAAAACCACAGGCGTTGACTTCGTCTCTGCGCGTCAACAATCAGAGCACACGATTAGGCACGAAAATCGCCTCGTTCCGAAATGTACGCAAGTCTTTGCACGATTATGTTTTTTGTATCGTACAAGCGTTTTAGATCTGCGAGATTTTTAACTGATAATTACCTGATACCGGTTTCTTTGTGATTGTAGATTGCGTTTTATTGTTATTTGTCGAATTCGCCGTGCAGATTAAATTGTTGATTTGCTGCTGGTCCCTGAGGGGAGCCTTCAAAGACATGATATCTGTAGTGCCAATAGAATTCAGAGACGATGTGGAGCTGCTGCGACTTCCAGGTCCTAAAATGTAAAACAAATCGGTACTTTCAATTTCGAGTTTTCAAAATTTAATTGAACATAAGTTATAAATCCCCATAAGAAAAAATTTCGAATTCAATAACAAAGGGACTAATGAGCCAATTAGCCTTTGTTATTGAATTTGAGTTTTTATTTCCGAAATATAGATAATCAAATCGATACTTTCAACTTCGAGTTTTTTTTTATTATATTTAATTCAACATAGATTATTATATCCCCTTTATTATATATATAATATAATTAGAATCAAATTCAATAACAAAGTGACTAATGAGCCAATCAGCCTTTGTTATTGCATCTGAATTTTTATTTAACGAAACATAGAAAATTAAATCGGTGCTTTTAACTTCGAGTTTTTTCAATTTAATTCAATATAGGTTATTATATCCCCAAGAATAAAATTCAAATTCAATAACAAAGGTACTAATGAGTCATGACTAATTAGCCTTTGTTTTTTAATTTGAGTTTTTATTTCCGAAATATAGATATCAATTTGATAAAACAAAATATTATTTTATCTATTACTTTATATCGCAATTTCAAGTGTAAATAACGTCGTGGACAATATTAACGTAGCTGAAATATAATTGTTAACGTAGCTGAAATTGTGTAACACTTACCGGCTTTAGCTTGCTTCGTGGCATTTTCGATGCTCTCGATCAGACACTTTACGGAAAGCCTCGAGTCCTGACGCGAAATGTTCGCCTTCCTACGAGCGGCGATCTCCTGTTGCACGCTCGTCAGCACGGACTGCTGAGTCTCCGTCGGTGTGGTGGCCGGCCTCGTGGGCGGTTGTTGTATCACCTTTTGATTAGCTGAAAGAATTTCCAAAAGGGCTTCATTACGTTACCTCGCGAATCGCCGTGCGCAAACGATTCCTCGAACAAGTGATTAAAAAAAAAAGCAATAAGCCATAAGTGTACATAAAATAAAGCACAGATAATCGGTATTAATACATGATTTCGAGAGTCTTCTCAATTCACGATGAAAGATGGCACACGCTCGTGCGAATAATTAATCTCCAGTGGGGACAATACAATTTCATGACAGAGACATAAATAAGCGAAGTATGTACTGTATATAGCGAGTGAAGGTATCGAGAAGTCGAGAAACACAAAGAAAGCCGGGTTGACAGTTAACCAAGGGGGGCAACATGAGCGGCACAATGTAGGTGCTTAGCGATTACACGAAGATAGCGGAGTCTCGTGTTCTTCGATTGAGGGGGGAGAGGCCCGGGGAGGACGGACAACAGGCCGAATTTTTTACGATACAAGCGATTCCCACATTAAGAGAGCGACTTACGGTCGCAAGACTCGCTCGTATGCCGGCGCCGTTTCGACAGTGTCTTCAATTCCACGTCCTCTTCGATCGTCTCAAACTTTTCTCTCAAGGATGACGTCCGTCCGATCGGCGGGGGTTGAAATGACCCCAAGTCCGCATTACTTTGCGACACCTCGGGCTCCTCGCTCGTCGCGCTCTCGACCTCCTGAGAATCGTTCTCGTTTGCCTGTATGCTACCCTGCAGGAATCTCATGCGATTCAATCGATTCCTCTCGCTTGCGTTCGAGCGCTTTGATCCATGCAACTGTTCGTCACACGCCGAAGATCCGAATTGCTTTTCCTGATTGACGGAAGACTCCGCGATCGGCTCCGAAATCTCCGCTTCTCTCCCCGAATGAATATTTAAAATTCTGCTTGGCGTGTCCGATGAAACGATTGGAATCGACGAGTGATGTCTTGACTTGTACTCGATTTCCGAGGGCGTTAACAGCGGATACGATTTCCGCCTCAATAGAGGAGCGCTTAATATATCATGCGAACTCTTTATTTTCTCATATTCGATATTTATATTCCTCGTAGAACTCTTTGATCTTATTTCGATAGTTTCATTAGATGAATTTGGTAAATTCGATTCTTCGGGTGTGTCAATAACTTTTCTATCCCCTGGCATAGCATTAAGATATGAAGATTTCATCGCAATCTGGTCATTATCGATGATCACGTGCTTTGCTGTCCACAACTGATTATTGCATGCTGTCTCTCCTGCTGTTTCATCTTTTAAGCCAGACGCTTTTAACAAAAAAAATTCACGATCCTCATGTCTCGTTCCCTGCGACTTTTCTTCGTTTTCATGCATCGTACGACGATTGTCAAATTTATCTGATGACTCTGCATAATTTTTAATTTGTGAATCTGCGATCGTGTTTGATTTCGAAGTCGCCTCATCCGGATTAGAATCAATTATCCCGCAGCTCGATTTTGACTCTTCAGGTCTCTTCGAAAACAGCCTCTGCCTTTGCTCAGCCTTATCGCTTTCTTTAAATTTCAAACACACGGAATCTGAAAGCGATTTTACATACCTAAGGTCCGGATCTACGCGCAGTTTCGTCGAGTCGTTCGGCACGGTCAGAGTTTCCGCCGTTGCTGTTCTGTTATCCGAGAACGACGAGCTTGCTTCGATATTGACTAGAGTGGGCAAACTCGTGCTGATCTGCGGACCGCTGTAACTTCTCTGCAACAGCCTCCCCATCTCCGGATCGACCTCGAACTTCAGGTCGTTCATCGCGGTCTCCACGCCGGAAAAGATGTAGTCCTTCGGCACGAAGAATCGACTGTTCGAAATGTTAATGCCGTACGAGTCTCCGTTGGCGTTTTGAATACTGCGAATACCCTTCAGCAAGGAACTCTTGGCCATCGCATTTTTATCGGACGTGTCCGTCACGGTGATGTACAGTTTCGGATAATCTTCCGCGATTATTGGCGATTTGTCGGACGGATTGTGAGTCGCATTCGATTCGAAGTTGTTCAAGTAGAACTTGAACGAGTCGTTCTTCGGGACCGTTGACGGTCCCGAATTCTCGTTCGCCGGACGCTCGACCGCTCCGTTTGTGACGCACTCGGCATGCTGGCCGTCGATGGGATACGCGGGACAGAATTCAATCTCCTCGCCGGAAATCAATTTGTCCTCCAATTTGACAGCCTCCTTGAGTGCCGGCGCGCCCGCCGCCGTGGTAGCCACCAGGTCGTTATTCGGCAAACCGAGTAGTCCGTTTCGATTCGCGGTATCGGCCTCGTCCTCGAGCCTCGCTTTATTCGACTCCCTGCCGCTCATCGTCGCTTTGAACAAGCTATTTCGCAACGCGTGCTTTCTCGCGTCGTAACGCTTCTTTAGAATCATCCGACCACGCTTTAGCAAAACGCTCGCCATTCTCTCTTTATTCCCGTTAGCGACATCGAGCGTCTTGCAACTCACTACAGTGCTATCTAGTACGCAGTCCGATTGAGGAAAAAAGGAACAATTATAAAATTAATAAAACTCCCACTTAACAAAATATAGGCTACATGTGTAAAATAGGGATCAAGAAAGAGAAAATTAATGCTCGCGGCAAATTGATTTCGCTTCATCAAGGAATATCCTTTTTTCCGACGACATTTGTTAAAATACTCTCGTATATTTCTTTTCCGTTAGAGAGTATTATGTGTTAGTATATCATATGCAATACATTTTTTTACTATGTTATCGTTAAACCTCTACGATTCTAGACACGTTCGTCACGTATCACAATGTACTATCGCATAACGGTTTCTTCAAGCGAAGTCCACCGTTTCCGTTTGTTTACCTTTGTTAAGTTTATCGAGCTGTGCCTCCAGCGCTCTCAGCTTATCTCTCTGCGCCTTGTTCTCCATGACCACGCGCTCCAGCTCGCTCTGGGCCTCGGTCTTGAAGTCGTTGGCCACTCGCACGGTCATCAGCAGATCCGTCTGGAATTGCTCCCACTCCGCGCTCTCCTCCTGCCTCAGCTTACGCTCGTCGGCCAGCGCGCGCTCCAGCTCGTACTGGCGCGTCTGCGCCTCGCGTTCCCTCCGCTGCGCCTCGCTCAACGCGGCTTTCAGCTCCCGTTTATCCTCCAGGTGCCGTTGACATTGCGTCTGCAATTCCGCCAGAGAGTCCCGAACGAGCTGCAGTTCCGTGCTCACAGACAGTCGCTCGTCCTTCAGCTGATTCAGCCTGTACTCCAAATCGTCTATGGCGGACTTCGCGTTGTTTCGAGCAACCTGAAATTTCGTTTCCACGTAGAAGCTATCATTCTTTATTTATTACTTACACGAACGAAAAAAAAGTTTACTTCTGTATTCTCACGGTTTTAAGAAAACCTAGTTCTTTCGATTAAAGCGGCGTCTACAATGAGACTTAAGACTCAAGATGAAAATTGACCAATCATAGTCGATCATTCATCTCACGTAAAAAGAATAATCGATTGAGTGGTCATTTTTCTTAAATCTTAAGTCTTGTTGTAGACGCCGCTTTAAAATTGCTTGTAAAAGTTTGTATTCGACGCATACGAAACAAGCGCGTACTTTATATTCTTCCTGAAGCTGCGAGTACTGATCCCGTAATCGATCGTGATCGCAATGCGAACGTGCCAACTGTTCCTGCAACGCCGCCGCCTGCGTCTCGAGCGTGTCCTTCTCTCTTCTGGCCGCGTCCAACAGCTCGTCGGCCTCGCTCTTGTTCTCCAGCTGCCTCGACTGCTCCAGCTCCTCGATCTTCGCCCGCGCGTTCTCCAACAGAGTCGCCAATCTACTGATCTCTATACTGCGATTCGCGCCCTCCTGCCTGGCTTCCGCCAGCTCCATGTCCAACTGCTTTCGCTCGACGTTCATCGCGTCCATCGACGCCTCCAGCAACTCGACGCATTTCGTCAGACGCTCGGTCTCTGCCGCACCCGCGTCGGCGGTCGCTCTCAGATTCTTCAGCTCGCTCGTCAGCTCTTCCTGCTTTTGAAGTAGAGTCTCTCGTTCCTCTTGCGCACTCTGTGATCGAGTAATACACGAGTAATTAGTAATCAATCGCCATTTCGCGTTTGTATATATAAATTATAATGCACTCACTTTCAGGAGGTCTACAAGCTTCTGTTCCCTTTCTGTATTATAACCCTTGGACGCCTCCTGCGGCTGTTCCTCCCTTAAAAGTAGCCCTTGCAAGGTGTCAACCTTGGAACGAGAGTCTTCCAGCTTCTCCGTCTGACGGCACAATGACTCCAAAAGTACGCCCTTCTCCTCGGTTAGCCTTTCATTATCCGCTTGCAATTCCGTCAGTTGTGCCTGCGCCGGTTAACATCAATTCGTTAAAGCTTGTATTCTTATCCCCATGCGATGGCTCGTAGTGTCGGTCCACAATAGTGCAGGTCCACAATGAGGATTTTAAGCCCTAAGCAGTAAGAAATAGACCAATCGTAGTCGAATATGAGAAGGAATAATCGATTGTAATTGGTCAATATCTTACGACATAAGGCTTAAAGTCCTTATTGTGGACAGACACATAAGGATTTTAAGCCTTACACCGTAAGATATTGACCAATTACAATCAATCTCCTCATATTCGACTACGATTGGTCTATTTCTTACTGCTCAGGGCTTTAAAATCCTCACCGTGGACCGACACTTGCAATACCAACAGACAAAGGTTGTACCTGCAAGTCGCTCAATTCCTGAATGGTCGCCTGCAACTCTTCGTTCGTGGAATAATGCGTTTCCTCCATTTGTAGGATCCTGTCCTGCAAGCACGCAACCGAAACCTCGGACATCGAGCTGGACGAGTGCTTGTCCCAGTCCGGCGTGGTGCACTGGGCCCCTTCCTGAGGCGTACTGGTGTTGTGCCCAGAACCGTCATCCTGGGGGATGGCGATGGAGGCTGGCGCAGAGTTGTGGAGCCGCGAGGCATCCAGCAGCAGCTGCTGCTTCTCCGAATCTGACAGCGGGGAATGCGCCACGTCCCTGAGACGAGCGCGAAGGGCCTCGTTCTCCTCGGTAAGACGCTCTAGCTCCAGACTATGCTGCTCCTGTCGTCAAAACAACAAATACATGTAAACTCGTTTAACGATAAAACAGAGAGCAACTAAGATATGAATGTAATTTCAAGTGAAATCAGGTTCTAAAGTGCCTAACACCGAAATAGCATCTCAACTATTGTAACTATTTAACTACAGCTGTGAATGGACGTTTAACAGTTGTATTATAGGTTTTTTTTTGCAGGGACTACAACAGCCTCGTGCGACACTCCGGGGAAGAGAGGCGTCACGAAAAAAAGTACGTCGGAAAAACAATCGTGAGAGCGACGGCGACGTTCGCGATCACAACATTCGCGGCCTCGTTTCCGTTTTAGGGACGGAAAAAAAAACACAAAAGCCCGCGCGAGGAGTGACGCCTCGTATAAATATTAGGAGGCGCCGACGAGGGGGGTGCCGAAGCGGGGAGAAGACACGACGGAGCCAATCCGGATTCGAGGTTAGAGTCCGCGCGACGTGCGAGCGTACGGGGACGCGGAGAGACGCGGTAACGCAACGCCGGGTAAGGTCGGAACTCCGCGGGGCTCGCGACTTCGCGCGGGCGATCGCGGACGCGGGGCGACGATAATCGGCGGGACAACCGCACCACTGCACCGGGACGGGATTTTACCGTGGGCGACGAGAAGCAACGCTTTTTCATATCGGATCCGCTCGCTCGACGGCCTCCCCGGCTCTCTTCCTGCGTAAACAATAAACATCCCCGCCGCGCTCTACGCCCTCTGGCTCCGTTTTCGAGCACGCAAAAACGACTCTTCGTGCCCTTTCTCCCTCTCTCTCTCTCTCTCTTCCTCGCCTCCTCCCCGTCACTCCGTCTCTCTCCTTCTCTCTAATGCTCTAACGGTTACGTCGGTTACACGAGCCCCGGGACTGAAACCGGTATAATTTCCGCCGAGTTCAGATTCCGACGCGTTGCGGCCGAAAATGATCCGCTCGCGAGCCGACGCCGACGGGAGTGTTGACAGGAGTATGCGATTTGTCGAATTGCGAATTTTCCGCGGCAGCGTCGGAAAATTCGCAATCCGTATAGTCGGGAATGCGTAACGGAAAGAGTTCTACAATCGTCCTGGCAACGATCATTTGGGGTGAGAGGGAGGGAGGGAAATGACACAGAAGGGTGCGCGACCTGCGGAATAGAATTTTGTAGAACTATTCTTTGCAGGAATATATAGCTGCAGATTTTGTTGCGCATTCGCGCGGTCAGAATGAAACAAGCGTGAAAGAGGGACGGTTGGTGAGAAAAATGTAGGTTTGCAGGTAAAAGAAACCCGAGAGAATAATGAAATCGTTTTTTCACGCAGTGTTCCAAGTCTATCGAAAAATATATTCGGCAAGCGAAGTTCTTTTTCTTTGAGAAATTTTTTGGAATTAATGTGTTTTAGAAAAACATTTGTGAGAATTAGAGAAACTTCCAAGATTAAAAACAAGAAATAATTTACGAATTAAATTGCAAATGAGAAGAGCTTGAGAGAAAATCATTATTTGAAACTTGAATGTCGAAATGATTAATATCAGACGTTGAAAAATTCAAAGAATAACTCGCATAAATTTTGGAGGAGAATCTGATTAACTCTGAATTGATCGAGATATATGAATAGGAATCCGTTGCGTCGAGAATATAAATTTGTGGAACATCCTGTAGCGCTAAAACGCCGGCGAGCTCACTGAAAACAGGAGCAGCGGAGTATCTTTTATTAATTATTAATATTTTAAAGTGGATGCTAACAAAAATTGAGAAAATAATTCGAATAAATTTTCGGATGACTCCGAATTGATCGAAATATAAATCCGTAAGCACCTCGTAAATTTTTGGGACACCCTGTAGCATTAAAGTACTGGCGATCTGACCGAGAGGAGGAGAATAGCGGCATGTATCTTCCACTCTCTATCGATCTATTTAAGCGCAATTTAGATGCAAAGCGGATATTTTTACAGCCGCCCCGGTCGTCCTCGACCGTGCCTTACGTTGTCTTCCTTGTACGGTGTGCGAAAGCGCGGAGAGGAGGGGAGGGGAGGAAACACGCGGCGTAGGTATGCACGTGTGCAAGGAGAACGCCAGGTACGACGCACACTCGCGAAGGGGGAAGGGAAGAAATTGATGCCGGGGGGACGTACGTCAACTGCAGATGAATCAGAGCGACGGTGTGTGCGATGCCGGCACATAATTCATTCATCGAGCGCGTTTTGCGACGCATTCGCTTGTAAGTGCGTTTTACATTCCGCACGTCGTTATTTCTCAGCCGACAGAAATGGAACGTTGCGTTTGAAGCTGCTCGGAGAGAATATTTTCCTCGAGTAAATCGCGGATGTGATTAATTCAGACTATTCAGAGTCTTCTCCTTCAAAATTTATTCGAATTATTCGTTGAATTTTTCAACATCTTGTATATTAATCATTTTGACATTCAAGTTTCAAATTATGATTTTCTATTGAGCTTTGCATTCCGCATATGTTATTTCTCAGCCGATAGAAAACGGACATTGCATTTGAATTGCTCGAAAAGAATTTTTCTCGAGTAAATTATAGATACGAACTGAATTAAAAGGTTTTGAATTAAAAAAAAATAATTACGTCGGATTACTTTAATTCTAAATTATATTTGGAAAGATTAATTAACTTTCATATCTAATATTAGAAATAGAAAAGGAAGATGATACAAATGATTAAAATTTAATATAAACAGTTAGATTATTAAATTTTAATAGAGAGAAATAGAGGAGTACTTTAAATTCCTTTACTTGAAGTCAGAGCTTTATACGCATTCCAATCGTACAAAATAAACAATAATAAGAGATTCCTGGATCTGTCTCTTGCGCATCAAGGTAAACGCATCCGAAATAGCGTTGCTAAAGTTGGTTTCCGTCAGGCAGTGCGAAACGAGGAGAAGGACGAGTGCGAGATATTACAGAATAATACCGGATTGTATGGAGATGTCCGTGGCGACACGTTTATTTATATCAATCGACCTTTCACTTCTGATAAGAAAAGAACCTCTTCAAACCTTTCCGCCTTCGGGACGATTTTAAGCTACCGTTGACCCACTTAGTGGAATCTTGGAGATGAGAGGAACACGAGAATAAATTTTAAAAAATTGTACGCATTTAGATCATGTGCCGGATTATGTAGGAAAAAATAATGCTTGAGAAAAAATTTGTTTAATTCTGTGAAAGATAATTCGAAAGGAATAATAAAAGTAATAACAAGAATATTAGGACGCACGTATATAAATATATTTGTCGGGAAGTGCAAAATATAGAAATTGGTTGATCTTCCCGAATTATAATTTTTCCGTATTATAGTTTACTAGAATTAGATCGATCCGATGTAAATGTCCTAATAAAATTCAAAGTGTGTTAATTCAGTTTGTAGCGATTTACTCGAAAAAAAAAACATCCTTTTACGAGCGAGACGTTGTAGGATATCCTTTACAGAAAGACAAAAAAATCTCTAAAATCGGCTTCTCTAAAAATAAACCATTGTTCTTTTTCAATAAGTCGATGCTATTTAAATATTTTGACATATCGAGCAAAAGCATAACTATAATATTATATAAATAATGGATCGAAATACCAAATTTAGACGTGAGCAGAGTTTCTCGAAGAAATCGCGAATAAATAACAGAAAATGGACCAGCGAGTAGCTGATACGATTTCTGTGAACGAAAACGTTGAGCAACTTTCAAGATGTCAGATATTTTGTCGAAAAATACATGTAACAATTATTATCCTAAACAATCAGAAACTACTTGTCAATCCGATTTCTCGGATGCCTTACCTTGAGGGAAGCCAGCTCGGCGCGCAGCTCACGCAGGCTCTGAGCATCGGTGGCCGCGTCGCGTAGACTCGCCTCGAGTCGCGCGCGATCCTTACGCAGGACCTCGACCTCGCGCTCCAGCTCCTGCATCCTGGTGGCCTTGGCCGGGCCCTTCGACGTCATCGTCGCCTTGGATCTGGCCGGCTCCTTGCTGCCCAGGGAGCCGGCCCAGCTGTTTCCGGTCGGCGGAACGTCGCTCTTCGCCTCCAGCGAGGAGGCGCTCGTCGCCTGGCGCAGCGATGCCGATTGCTGCTGCTGCTGCGCCGACTGCTGCGAGGGCGGCGGCAGCGGCTGTTGCTGCTGGCTGGGCTGTCCTCTGCGAAACAGCGATTTGAACTTCATCATGGTCACACGACTGGTCACCGCGTAATTCAGACGATCTTGTCTCTCGTGGCACGAGAAAGACACTCCGCGGAGAGTCCGAGAGGGAGGGGAGGGGAGGGGAGAGAGCACGAAACGGGATGACTTTCTTTTTCGATCCGAGCGTCGATGAGGAACGGCGCCTACGACCTGGAACGATCCTCGCCGTCAACGAGCGACGACGTCGTTCCCGTTAGCGAGCGTCTCCGGAACTCGGACGAAGAGGGAAATGAGCAGCGGGTCGGCACGACTGTCATCCTGCCGCGTTTCTCCTCCGGTTATTACGATGTAATAATAACGAACGTAATCGTCGCGCTAAGGTCACGGATATACGAAAGAGTTGCCGGCGACTATCGCGAGCGCGAGGGCGTTTAATGATAGCAGTCCTGTCTGCCGATTAGATTTCCGCGGAAGGACGCAACACGTCGGTGGACGAGACGGCTGAACGGAGGCGTCTCGACGGGACGTTTTCGGATCGCACACTTGCGCCGCCGAAGGCTGCGTTAGTTATTACTTTTAAAAATGTTCCTCTCTCTCTCTCTCTCTCAAATACAAACTTTCCGACGTCACATTTACGTGAAAACAAACAGCCGATCTAGATGACCACTTCCGCGCAACGAGATTCCCTCGAATTCGTGAATACAAAGTTCGTCTTAGTTTCTCCGAAAAGGCGATCCTGAGATTTTTGCGCGAAAGTTCCCCGACCGCGTTTAAAGTCCGACACACTTTCAAACGCGTTTCGAGAGAGCACGGGTACTTTAAGTCACGGATCACCCATTGTCAGTCAAGTTTCCGCAAAAGTCGTCAGAGAACCGCGGAGACGAGAATTCACGTGAACAGCCGAACGTTCGACGCGACTCGAAATACGCCGATTCGCTGCACAATTCATAAGATATATAGAGACTTTTTATTCCCGTCAAAGAACAGTCAGTCATCCGGGTCACTTGATCTACGCGACGAGCACGACATTAGTCACATTCCCACGTTCAACTCCGGTCCCACCTCGGAACGCGTCCAGGTGCGTCGTCTTCCGATCATGCGTTGAGCCTCCGCCGGCGCGTTTCGTCGCACGAGAACCGTCGCTCCGCCAGTCACACCGTGCGGCATCCTCGCGTCTTCTTCGCAGACCGGCGGCCCAGGAGCCGGCTTTCTCTCGTTATCCTTCCGTTTCAGGACGCGCCGGTGGCGACGGCGACGTTACACGACACGGATCGGGCGATCGCCGCATCGTGTGGCGCGCACTCGCCGAGGAATTCCAAGATTCGTGCGTGAAGCCGAGCGGCCTCGAGCCACTTTCTTCCTCGATCGCCGCCGACGAGAGGAGAATCCTCGCCGCTTCGTCCTTCTCCTCCTCCTCCTCCTCGAGGATGTCCCTCGTCGTCGGGAGAAACGAGGCGAGCCCGGAGACCGACGACGTCAGTCCCGTCGCCGCGTGGCTCCGACCACTTGTTGCTCTTCGGGATTCGGCCAACGACCGCCGCGAGAGACGTTTCGCCGG